ACCTCAGGTCAAATTTCTTCACACAAATTTATAGGAGCAATCTGTTTAAATTCCCTAACCACGGTAAATGCTAAAATATGTCACCCTGGTTAATACAATCGATTTTTTTGTATTTCAAGCAAAGTATTTTGACTAAAGTTTAGTGGACGTAACTTCACTGCACTTCAATAGTTAGAATAGTCTGGCATTTGGTCCTGAACTTACTGAACTTTTATCCGAATAGAATCCGTTTTGAAAGTTAGTTTAAATTTTTTGGTAGTGTCAAAGTATTCATACGTATTTCATATTACTGAGCTTGTATTATTTATTCTTATCTGGAGAATTAGAATCGATGTCAAGGTATTTATCACTGAAATCGTCTAACTTTGAGTGATGAAATGAATTATAACTCAAAATTAACTCAATGCATCCATTATTCAGACGTCTTTGACTTTTGTTGCAAGTAAATTCACCCAACTTATGGGTAAGATCAATAGTCAAGCAGGCATAGGCTGTAAAGTGGTGTTCATTTGGCTGGTTCAATAAGTCTCAGTTTACTCGACATTATCGTTTACTTTATTGGAAGCGATCAAAGTCTCTTCAAGCGTGGGTCAGCCTCTTCTACAATGACAACTTTCAAAGTCTCCACAGTCATATAATTCAATGCTAGAATGTGTGTATATTGAGTAAAATGGTCAAGAGAAATATCTGTTCTGTGCTCGAGAAACATTATTGCTTCATTTTCACCAAATATTTTGCACATTTCATTCAGCATCCCACAATATTAGGGCTATAAGTTGTTGAAGACGCGAATCGACTCTATCAGCTATCTTGATCAAGCAAGGTCTTCCATGGCATTCTGATCGATAAAGGTCGTCACTCTATGAATGATGAATCGGCAGCCCTGTTATCTGGGGCTGCAATGCAAAATTCGGTAAATACGAGATTTATGATGACCTCTTGCTGAACTTTTGACCCTTGTGGTACTCTTTTAGCCTGATTAGGGTGTTGTTTGGAAATTGATGTGTTTTTGGTTTGAATTATTGTTTATAATGCTTTCTATAATCATGCTTCGTATGTAAATATGTAAATGGATATATGAAAAAGACTGCACACACCCCTTCTTGCATATGATCAGAATTTTGAATTTCACATTTAACACAAACTGTTCCTATACTTACCACATTTATGATTCTGATTTAAAGTTGCTTGTCCTCAAAACTTATCCCCACTGAGGTTAATTCAACACTACCGAAGGAAATATTTCTAGAAAGAAGCCATGGCTAAATGGCAAGACTAAAATCTTCCAAAGTGAAGTAATTCAGTAATAAAGTAGTTTAAGGTGTGCGTGACCTAACATGCGAAAGCGAAACCGATTGGTCATCTTTACACTCTTAAACATTTCTATCGATTCTTATTGATTGCTTCACAAAGTTCAAAAATTCATCAAACAAAGTAAATGCACTTTCGCTGGAGTGGAAAAGGTCAATTGAAGTATACAAAATCTTGAATAGAAGTTGAGTAGAAATGAAGAAATTAGCTTGCCAGTAATTTTAACACGAAAAGGCAAAGATTTTTGAATATTGTGTGCATATATATAAATATATTTAAGTCTTAGACGACATACAATTTAACCACTATTGACATTCTGGGTACGCGGACTTGGGTAGAACACTGGGAACTAAAGTGGGCGAAAAATTTGTTGATAAGGTGAAGAGAATACTACGCGTCTTAAAATAATTGCAACATCACTTACTTCTTTTTATCAATTCACCAACGCCTTTCATTTCAAAGATATGCAATTGTGGAACTATTAATTTAACTGCATTTGCGATTTCCCAGGGATACGCATTAATCGCCTTTAATTTTGGGTGCTCAGGCAGCGACTTTACTGGTACAGCCTCGTGCTCAGTCATGAAACTCACAATCTTCTCATCTGTGGATATGTTTTCATCACCGAACAAATAAGCTCTAGGATAAGTTAGGAAAGTCCATTTAGTGAAATATATAGAGACAACTTACAGAACGTAGCCAATGTAGTCCATTCTTGTATTGAAATGCATGTATTCATTTTTATTGATCTCGTGGGCAATTATCGGCTGACCGTCGGGCATGATACCGACATGTTTCTCGAAGCTAGAACCCCAGTACTTGTCACCCTTTCGTACTAAGATGGAATATTGTGCTTTATGCGGAAGCCTCATCGCCATGGTGCTCATGATATGTATGATCAAATATTGGGCCAATATAATCTCAGCCAAGAAGTCGACATAAACACACATGTACAAATTTAAATAGTTAAAAGAAAGTGAAGATGTCCTTGTTTATTTTTTGTTCTTACAATTTGTTTAGATTTTTACTTTGAAAAAAAATAATTGCTCATTTTCATTAACAGTAGGAAGGATGTAAACACTTCAATGGTACAGAATGGATTTGATTACTATACTCGTGTTGGATTTTCCGCAAAATCACGGGTTAAACTCACCTGATATATGATAAATCTTAAAAAATAATCTATTTTTATTTAAATTATTACCAATATTATACCTTTGATTTTATTGCAACTTTCGATATCAATGATGATCTCCATGGGACGGAATCGTACATTTTGAAAGATTTCGTGTAAAGGATTAAATAAAATGAATCCTCTAAAATATATTTAAATAAGTAAAAAAATTGTCACATAACTTTGATTAGCATTATTCAATTAAAAACATGCCTATTTTATAAATTTCTCAATTTATCACCTCAGAAAAGGTGGAAAAACGTTTGTAAATTTAATGAACAATAGCAACCATTCTAAGGGAGATTTTTTAAAATTTTTTGAATTAACGTGAAAGGATTGTCTTACTAATTTGACGCATAGAAGTCGTAATGGTCTGCATTATTATTGCCATAGCATTCTTCCATAATTTTGTCACGTGACCAATTGAAAGGAGACTTCAAATAGTAAATAATATGTGAAGCAAATGAATTTGGTTAAGAGATATCCCAACAAAAAGTAGGTTGTTTGGAAGGGTTTCAAAAGATGCAGGGTATTACTTCAAGGTAACGGAGAGTCTTCGTTCATGTTGTATGGCATATGTTGAATGTGCATCTTGAGGTTCTAATGATTGAATTTCATGACCAGTCACCTGAATTTATGTTACCGGATAAAATAAGAGATTGTAGTTCAAGAAATTTTAAATAAAGATTTTCCAGGTTTATTACTTTATTATTTACTCTTCATGGTGATATATAACTGTAAATTCACCCTGAAATGTCAAACCGTTGGTAAACCTAATTTCTAAAATCAAAAAATTGCCCAACCACATGTGTTCTATTCAAATCGGATAGAGAAAAAGGTATCTTAGTAGACAATATTCAGTGCTTACAATTTCATCCAATCCGAGGTGAGAAAATTAAACTATTAATTTGACAAGGGATCATAAGTTCTCTTTGCGCTCGGAGTATTAATGTAATTCACTAAAGAATCAAAAAGATTGCATTAATACTAATTGATAATTTGTCAATATTTGAAGGACTTATCAAATTGCACATTAGTTCATTTATATGGAGCAAACTTTGCTTACATTTGAATTATGGTTCGTTTGTGGGACACGTCAACGCCTAACACACCTAATCGCATGCGTGCACAACTAATGGTCAATTGGAAGGCTTCGTTTGTTCTAGCGAATTCGCCATCTTGGTTAGATACACTTCCAAAATAAACTTGTTCCGTGCGATACATCTACTTCCTCTATAGATGGTCTGTAGCTTAGTCAATTCTTGAAGTCTAGCCAGATATAGAGGATTTTTTACAGTTTTTAAGTTAAACGAAGCTTAACTAGTGTAGCAATCCACTACAAGTTTTCCTAAATTAAGGTTGCTGCGAATTCTCTCATTAAATAATTTCCAAGTACTCAGCAATGAACTTTTGAGTTGTTTATAATCATAAACCTGCCACATAGACATCCCTCACCCCACCACCCCCACACACACAAAAGTATTCCACTTGCATTTAAAAATAACCAATGAAGCATAACATGAAATAACCTCGTAAACACAGTCTAATTGATTAAATATCTCAGAAGCATCAGCCACATTTCGAAAATAAACTCTCTTTTTTTTGACTGCCTTTCTCTCTCATATTCAAACTTTCTGGCAATATTTTTATGTGGCAAATTATTTAATTTCGAATTAAATATCTCATTGGATATGGTTCTTTAAGAGAGTTATAATGCTCCCCCTCTGGACATCTTATATCTCATGGAGTGGAAGGGTGTAGGTTGTGATGTGTTGCAGACACAGAAGGACTTGCAGAAGGATCGAGTCACCTGATGGACCACGTGGATTGGCTGCTAACCTTGGACACCCATTTGAAGCGTCATAAGACAGGTCACATGACACCTTTTATGTAATTGAACAGTTATTTGTTTGAAAATATTTAATTTATTCCACAATACTCATTCCCAAATAGTTGACTATTAATTGTATAATATTTTATTTATGTTTTTTATATAATTATACATCATGAAAGATCTCTTCCTTATTTGCACCATGTGAAAATTAATTTGATTTCTACAGAAGCTTCAAAGGGGCCACAGATTTAAGCCGATCAAAAATTTGAGGGCAAAATCATTATTTTTTGGTTTTAATTATTTTCCGTGTTCAGAGACGACAAATTGGTTACTTACAATATTCAATTCACTTGACAACCTATCATTTCCGCGTTGCCACAACATGGCGAAGAAACTCATTTACCATTTAAGGAATAAATGTTAACCTGACAGATGTCTCAATCACTCGTAAATTCAAACCTGATGCTTAGACAAAGACGTGGAAGTAGAAGAAGAATCGGACTATTCAGGGGATTAAAAGGTTCGAGACCATCTATTAGACATTTTGCCAGCGTCAATATTGCTGAAATACGATGCTTCTATTACATTTGGAGCAAATGCTACCTGTCAGTTCTGTCAAAGGCAACGCAAGGCAAATAATGAATTATTATTTTTCAAATTATCTAAATACTAAAATACAGAATTAGGTGACAATATTATCAAAATCGGAATTCTTCTGTTATTTATGGGCAAATATGTTGTAATAAAGTCAAGTGGTTTTCTAAAAACACTAAATAAAGAGAAGGGGTGTGTGAGAGACTTACCTCCACGTGGTGCACCCTGGGCAACGTATAATCATACGGCAAAAACGTCTATTACCTGGAAGTTGACTTCAAACTACCATGACCCCACTGTATGTCATATTCGACTACTTTCATTCCACCTTTTTTCCACCTTATCTACCTTCGTCTTTGATACACTCTTCTGTTCCCCCCCCCCCCCTCTGTGAAGACTGAAGTCAACTAAAGGGCTAATGATAACAATCAAAAGGCCTGCCATTTGTTATAATAATAATAAAGTAAATAAAGAGAATAAATTTATTTCGATAGATTTGAATAAATAATATTCTATTAGGTGTCTGGTGTGCCAATAGGCGATGATATATATATATATATATCCCGGTTTGAGCACAGGATTCCAATATCTGATGAAGCAATGCAGGGAAAATGACGATTGCAAACGAAAACCTACGACCTTTCAACAATTATTTAATTAATTAATTATTTATTTACAGAGTAATAAACGTAAACCGTGTCCAGGTGGTGGAGTTTAAACAAAATTCACAAAATCTGAATTTCATTAATATGGTTCCCAATATGAACCTAGATCATTTTATCAGACAATTACCACTCCAGCGTCATAATTAATCACATTAATTCAAGTAAATAAAACTGACGTAAAATAAAGCAAAATATTTAATAATTGGCTTCCAACTTCTGTAAAATTTGATTTTACAGTTCCATTTATCGTGGTCGTGCGGGTATTAAAGCCCACAAAATGCCAAATTTCTACATAGTTTATAACAAAATAAAATTAAGAAATAAGGAAATTTGAGAGTTCAGAATGTGGAATCCTCAAAATTTGATAGCAGATAACATATGAGCATTCATAGATCTTTATTTAACAAGCAATTATTTCAAAGTCCAAATTTAGAGATTTTTCCCAATAATTATAACATCCCAACCTTAAAGAATAAGAAACAATTTTAATCCCGACCGTTTGTTAGCAGTAGAAATTATTAAATGTTAAGTGATTATTTCATAATAAATTACCCATGCCTTTTTAATAAATATACAAACACAAAAGAGGAGTAAATAGTGAAAAAATTATATTTGAGAAATTTTTTTTCGAATTTATACTCCAAAGTCTCGCATGATTGAAGGAAGTTTTACCTTGAAAAATGAAGGTGGGTCGAGGAGAGTTTTCGGTCGTGTTTCCATTGGTTGGAAGAGGTATAAAAGCAGGTGAAATCAGAATGAGCACAAACCCGGTTTGACAGCTAACCTCATCAGATATCATAACTTATCATTGTCTTCAATTTGAAATTCTACAGCATCATTTGAGAAGGAACAAAATGCCCAAACAAAGGCAATTGATTCCCGTGATTCCAGATCAAGGCCTGTTACTCATGAACACGCCCGACGTGGAAAGGAAATTGGCCCGCATTGCCGCAATTTTGTAAATTCTGAGATTTTTCTCTTTATTACTGCGCCTTAGAAATGAAACCTTCTCCATTGACAATTTGAATTCCGACAAATTTATCCAAAGGCACATAAGAGAGGACAGAGGTGGTATAATCATCGATCGATTGCGGAGAGCGGGCTACTTCGGAGACATGGAAGTGGAAGACAGCGAAATTTTCGACGCTGTGTTGGGCAAATGCAAGGAGTTACAAATTTGCGCTGTGCCCTTAAAAGGCTACATAATTCGCCGAAAAGACGGATGTAAGAACGTTTTTCTTGCTTCCATTATGTGTGCATTTAGATGTGCCTAAGACAAGGACTTTGTGACGTGTTGGTGATTCGTCGCCTGATTTGCCTTCTTCTTAAGCCCGTAACTTTCTCCTCAAGACTGGCTTCTCCATTCACATTTTTTAATATATAATTGCTCTGTTTCCTTGACTCTTTTCCCTGAACTCCGAGAATCTCACAGCTTTTATCGTCTTTCAGCTACTCATACGACTCCCACTCACATCAACGCCCTCTCATCTTCCTCCCAACCTCCCGAATCCTCAACGTAGTCGATTCATTACTCGTCTGCGTAACCGTAGTTCCAACAACTTGTTGACCCTCAAGAGGGTTAACCTACAGTTTATCGTGTCAGTAGAATAGATGTAGTACTTTCGTAAAGTCATTTTCTGTTGCGCTACAATAGCAAAGACATTTCTGTTATTTCGGCTGATTTGTTTTCGAGAGGAGGAAAGAAGCGTGATCCACAGAGGTAAAGAGATAGATGGACACAAATACAGAGAAAAGGCAATATGAGTACTGTTGAAGTGGTCGAATTTGACATACATTGGGGTCATCCTAGTTTGAGGTCAGAAGTCAGCTGCCGAATAATAGACTTTTTTGCCGTATGACAATACGTTGCCCAGGGTGCACCACGTGGAGGTAAGTCTATTGCACACCCCTCAATCAGTTACATTGATCTAAACCAAGACCATCGCTTCTTCTCACCATACGGATTTCACAGAGATCAACTTCTCACAGAATTGATCCACGTGAATGGTCTTTCAATGGAGAAGAACATGATGAGCAAAGTAAAGCAGTGACTATTGGAGTCCTTTCCGATTAGCACAACTGCCTTCGGCAAAATTTAAAGCCCAACAAGGCGGATGGTAAGTAGTTTGCATATAATTCAAAGAAGACTCTTTCAATCACCTGGGCTGATTTTTTCCAAACGGACAGGATTCTCGAATGTGTTTTCTTCCGATGGTGAGTTGATGTTTGTCACAAAAGTTTTTATTGAGGGTCTTAGACCTACTTTAGACGTTGGTGTTGAAATGAAGTATTGGAATAACAAACGGGATCAGCCGATATTAAGCCCTGCGTTAGACGGCAGTACACAGAACTCGGGCAACACCTCAGGGTAAGGTTAAAGGACGACTGTGAGATAAAACTTTGATCTCCAAACATTCCAAGATCGTAACCAGACAGATCAGAATTGGCGAAGAGGTATGGAATTGACANCTCTCGGGCTTGAAGAACACAATCCAGCCTAGCACTTAATCTAGTGAGTGCAATAAACTTTGTTAGAACGTGAAGTTGTATTTAATGACTAACTGCTGATACAATGGATTAAATAGAGAGGGATATCAAAGTTAACCAATACCATTGAAGCACTGAGAAATACTTTTCTCGGATAAAAGGTCATTTAAAGTCAACCAATTATTAGAGTTCAAATAAGGGAACTTCTGACGCAAAAGAAATAAAGAACAAGAAATAAAAGTACACTATTTGACAGAGTTTGAGGTGATTTAAGATGTTTTTCTTAATTAGCTCACTTTCAACACGTCCGAAAATTATAAAGCAGAGTAGACCGATCTCATCATCTCAAAAATACTCCTATTTCAAGAGGGGATCTGAAGTGGTTCATTCTTTCTCGTAGACAAAGTATGATTTCTACTTCATTAGTCACATAGACCTAATTTTCACTTCTATGGCTTTCTTGAAGCTGCTAATTTCATCAGCAAACCATCCACATCTAAATACTTCAGCCCTCCTAACTCGTTGCATGGTGAAATGGAACAAGACAAGAAGAACAACATGTTACTTCCATCTTCCTCTTTCCTGTTAGGAACATTGAAAATGGGAGGAGGGTCAGAATTTACTGATTTAAAGTAGGCCAATTATAATATTATTATCAATAGTTCAAAAAGAGAACCTGTTTCAGTTCCACCTTCAAAATTTCAGTTAATAATGATCGATTTTGATCAAATATCAGAGCTGTTTGACAATTTTGGAGGTGTGGATGGAGGGAAGTAGCATCGACGAAGATGCCCAGCGTCTGTACCTATTTCAAAACACTCCATAGCGAAGAGGCAAATCACAAACAGGATGCATTGGACTTAAACTTTAACATATCGCTGTTTCAAAAGCAAAAGAGTTACGAAATTGGTATAAAGCTTTGTCATTGGTAATCAGAAGCTCATGATGCACGTGAATATCTAAAGACAAGTCGATTGAATTCAAAAATTCCATCGTATCATTTTCATAATTGGAAGTCGAATAATAACAAAAGGGAAGTGCCGAGAGTTATGAGTTCCTTAAAGGCCGGAGATTTAGTATCTACTGAGCAAGTTCCATTATAACTTGCAAGAACCACTTGACCAATTCAGAACTCCCATTAATTGATCCATTTGAAACCCATTATGCTGCTGTGTTTTTGGAGACGAATTCGTGTCCTATCAGCACTATATAAACAATAGATTACTCTGTTTTAATGCAAAAATGCATATATAACGTCGTTGTGGACCAAGATGGGAGTTATCTTTTGCCTCCAAAATGTCCTTGCAATTGAACAGCCTTTAGAAACATCTGGCAAAAGGTGAGTTTATGAACTTGTGAAGGGCTGGAACATCAGAAGGTGGACTGTACTTCAAGCTTGCACTTTAGCCTGGCTCTGAATTTCCCCAAAAAACCTATCGAACTTTAGGATTTTTTCATCTTTCTTTGCCCTTGTTGTAACACTTCTCATTTTGATCTCCATTTACTCTGATTTTTTAACCCTCCTCGACTCTCTCAAAAATTAATTTCATCTACCAAACTCTCTACTCGCCTCTTGAAAAGACTCCCAAAAATTGCATAAGTCGATTTGAATTTTGCCTCAGTAAATTCTGGAATTTTACTCCAATCACATCTTACGTAGTGGATAATAGAATAGTAGGAAGTAGGTGTTAAAATTTACTACAGCAAGTCATACTTCTCTTCCAGTAGACTAATTCGAATCGCTATGTTTCCGCCCATTTCGATGCGTCTCTTCGATTCCAATATCTACAGTGTCAATAGCGATAGGTAAGTGATGGTCAATCAAATGACATGCAAACCAATTAACTCACATCCATCTTTACGCCTCACAAATGTTCCATAGGGCTCCAGCTGAAACATTTCCAATTCCGCGCACTTCATAGGCACAGCCGCCATGACCTCCTCGTAATGAGCATCAATCCAATAGAATGCCTTGTAATGCGGTATCTGACTCAGAAGCATTCCACCATGCTCGATGAAGGCGAAGTGAATCTCCGGATCACTGGATATATTTTCGCGTGAAAAATACTTATTTCTAAAAGAATAAATCAGGAGGGAGGAGGGGCGGGGATGTTAAACAGAATACAGATTGCGGAAGTTAAGAATATCATTAACTTACAGATAATAACCGATGAAGTCGTTTTTGGACTCAAAGAGGAAGTACTGTTTGCCGTTAGTTTTGTCCAATGCAAAGTATCGCTCATCTGGACAAGAGCCGTATTCTGGCAGAGCTCCTACTCTTCTATATATGATTTCAGCTGGAACTTTGCGGTATTCTGGGAGTCTGGGCTGTATGTCATTCCAATCGAATTTCTCCGGCATGGTCGCAACTTATCAAAGGGCACTAAAACCAATCAATGGCAAATTTCGCCCCAAGTATTCAGTCGAATATGACAAATAGTGATTTGATTTGTGCTGAAGGAAGATTGAGGCATCATAACTTTTGAGGATAAAGTACTCATAGAGCAGTGAAGTTCATCTTACATCAAGGCTAAATAAAACTTTTAATCAACTCGACAATTGTTTGCGCGAGTAGTTAGAAATGAGCTTCTAATAAGTCAGAAATTAATCGATATTTTTTGCGTATTTGGTTGACTTCTTGAGGTTATTAAGAGGCTGACAGAATGATTTTACGCCAAAAGAAGCTTCATTTGATTTTCTGTCTTTCTTATTTTGACATCTAAAATTGACTAGAATTTGTTTTCGTCTTTAGATCATATCCACCGATCTTAAGTAATGAAATCGTTACATTTTGGGTGGGGTGTCTATATTACCACTATTTGGAGAGTAAGGCTACTTGAAAGTGTATTTCTGTATTTATAACGATATTTGAGTAAAGTAAGGCATTTTCATGTTATGGGGAATACTAGCACCTATCACCCAGCCACCTACACCCCCCCCCCCCCCCCACCCAACCCAATCCAATTATTGCATGGAACGAGTTGACTCAGACCCAGATATAACGAAAAGCCATTACTCTAAGTCACTTTGCTAAGCAAACAAAGACTTTCAACAGGAATGAATGCCGCCTTAATTTGATTGATGGAAAATCAAAACGAGATATGTGCCCACATGATGTTAATGATGAAGAATGACTTAGAGACAGTCTGTAGGAATTGTCAGCCCGAGACAAAACAATGATTCTAGAACTTTGAACCCCTAAAGCACCTAGATATCAGAGTAAAATTGATCCTGATAAGACCAAAACCCGTTTAGCAAAAGGGTTTTCATCTATTTCGCATTAAAAGAAGTCATATATCACATATTCCTGAAGTCTGAAGATTGAACGATGATTAAATATTTTCTAATTGTATGTGATTGTGCCTATATAACCGTGTAATTACACTTAAAAATTCTATACTTCATGATATTTCTAGGGGGGTTTTAATTAATCATTAATGCATAATCAGTCTGAATACTATTCCACACTTTTGAATTTCAGCAAAATTCTTTTTGAAAAAAAATTTGTTTATATGCTCGGATGCATAGATTTTAAAAGTTATCATATTCTATCTTGGAGAATATTCATTTATTAAGTTAAATTCTGCATTTTTAAGTCAATAAAATCATCACTCTTGCTAGATTAGCATATAATAAGATGTTGTAACCATAATTTTAATATATTGCTTAGGGTTAACACACACTGATTTAGTGAAACGGAAAAATCCATAAGCGTTTTCTAATGAAGATATGACAAAGATCTGCCCCATTTGGAAAGTAATTCTCATCAAGAACCACAATCGAAACATACTGGTATACGGAAGAAGAACATCGGATTTTACAAGTAAAACACTAATTCTCACAAAAACAAATGATATTTTAGACAAAAATGATCTTAGATTGTAACTTTTTCGCCTTTTTATGTAAGGCTTTGGTTTAGATTTATCATCATATTTGTAAAATCTGCAGTTTTTTGCTTAATTTCGACGATTCTCTATTATTATTAATACCACGATATGTTCAGTAACAGTGCAATAGATGGCGAATTATGGCTTAAACACGCACATATTCTAAACGTTGGGTATGACGTATTATCAACTTTATTCATTTTGGAGTTGGGGCCTCGTTCAGTACTACAGACTTGCCAAGACTTTCATTGTTGAATATATTTTCTTATCTTTTCACTCTTCATTTAGTTATTTTAGCGATCTCTATTAAAAGATAGAAATTCTTTTCGCACCTATTACAATTGTCGAACATTAAGTGTCGGTTAGCTCATCGACAACTGCATGTTATATTTAATGTGCTTACTGTAAAACAAGTGGTTTTAAACTCTATTACATTTATTTGAACTAATTCTATGGAGTTACTTGTTAAATGGTACCCATCTGGTGTTATGACTTAATTTAATAGGTATAATTTTCATATATGAATTAATCGCGTCTTACCGTTATTTTCAATTTTCATGATATTATTTAACTAAAAACTTTTTGAGTCTTATTGCCTTATATTTGCACGGTAACGAATCAATTCCTTATTAATACCATTTAAAATTCAAAAAATATTTTATCTCTGATAATTATTCCATGTGTTGTTTAGCGTTCAAAAGTTTGGAAAGGAGTTCAGCGAAATGTGGGAAATTTGCGAAAAAGATTACTAATAATAGATATCAAAATTATTAAAAATAAGAAGAATTTATGGATTTTTAAATGGTTTTTCTACTAATAATTAGTCAAATACCTCTGTGATTTGCGTTTTTCATCAAAAGCAGCTTTAATATTTTTCGATAATTTAGTTGTTTGAATTGGTGCTCATTAATTTAGGTCATCTAGAAAGAGTCGTATCTAATACAAATGCAAACTAATAAATTATTACTCGAACTCGTCCATGAATATAAGGAAAAGCTAAAGCAGAAAACATTCGCACATTGTGTTAATTTGTAAATTTGCTTTTTTATTGACATCTGTAGTTATGATGCCTTAAAATTATGTATAAATAAACTAATATCCTGTGAATCAGATAATGTATTTGACACTTTAAAGGATATTCAGAGTAACCGAATGTCTAATGAATGCTGCAGCACTGAGGGACAAACAGAAGAGCCTTTTGAACCCGACTTAAAGGAGACTAAAGTTGTATTAGAGGCAATATAAAATTGAATTAGATTCATTATTTGTAGCTCTTATTACAAGAACCTGAGGAGGCTAACGAAGATATTACCGTTCAAGACATTTCGAACCTCGTAAATTTATTCAGTTCTGTTGGGGAGGGTTTAAGTACGAATGAATACTTCAAGATTTATTTGGCAATAAAGAAGCTAATTATTGACTATCCAGTTGATAGTGTCCGTTTCTGGGGGAAGATATTTGGTACCCAACAAGATTATTATATTATTGAATGTCAGCCCGGTGACTACGACTCTTTTCAACATTCTAATGAAAATTTTGACAATATACATGTTCAAGAACAGGTCGAAGAGGGTTCAAATGGAGGTTGATTTTGTCTTCTTGTAAAATTGGCCACCTTATTCGACGTAGCATTAAAAATCGTTTTTATTGCTTAGTTTCACAACTTCCAAACTCTACGTGGAAGCCACCACAAGACGTTCCATCTGAAGAGATCGGTGAGGGAGTAAATAATCGTGTCTACTTTGCCAGTAATCATGCTAGTGGTCCCTATACACTTCTGCCTCTTTGTGATCCAAAACACATTACCGCCTCCAGAATGGTGAGATTTGCCCTTTGATTTGATCTTTGCAGATTTACAGCTACTTCACAGGAGACTTGGCCTCAAAAGTGTCCTGCTGGCCACCGTTTCCTGGCACCGAGGCACAATATTTGCGAGCCCAAATAGCGAGAATAAGTTCGGGAACACTTCTTGCACCAAAGAACTTCTTTCGGATTCTTCAAGAGGAAGATCAAAATGCTGAGGCGAGCGATGAAGAAGATGAAATTGTGCCCACCGAATGTGAAGAAAATGAGGAATATGTGCCTCAAGCAGTTGAAGCAATGATGTCATCCGACTGGGTTCATAGCAGACCTTATATTTTACCTCAGGGTAGAGTTACTTGGTAGGCATTTGGTTTCTATTAATTGTCCATTAACTAGGATCAATATGAAGGATATTGAGGAATCTGAATTAGGTGATAGGGAGAGTGAAGAAACGGACACAGTCTCCCACCTTAAAGAACTTGGCAATGAGTCAGAAAAACGGGAAAAGGGTCCTCCGATTCTTACACCAATCTCCAATGATCTTGAGGTGGGTGGATATGAAGCTTGGCGGCTTAAAACAAGTAGAAATGGATCGCGCCTTCTTATCTCTTCACTTCTTTGGCCAGGCGCTCATACTGCCGCCAAAGACAGGTATGTTTGAGCATAAACTTCTTTACAAAATTGTCTTAGTTTAAAGAAAATGCAACATGCTAATTAGGTTGGTTGGCAGTATTAGACGTAGGCGAGTGTTAAATCAAAGTTTTAGCAAGACATACAAACCATAATAAGTTCAATTCTTTGCAATATTCAGATATTTTGAAAATATCTACGTTGGTTGGGGTCTCAAAGCAACGAAGCCCCGTGAGTTTCCCGGTCGGTTGTCACATGATCAAAGTGAAATTCTTCATGAACCCGAGGAAGTGGCTGACCCTACTCCAGAACAAGAAAAGGCCAAAGCAGTGACAGAAAATGAAGAAGGAAGTGACGATGATGTTGATGGAAGATTCGAAGAGGAAGAGGGAGAGGGAGAGGGAGAGGGAGAAAAGGAGAGCAAAGAGATTTCTGATGCAAATGGTGAAAATTCAGATAATTAACCCAACGAGTAGCACAACAATTTGGCTTTGATCGCCTTTAACTCAGTTTATTTTAAATTTCACCTTCCAGATCGATGCCCGTTCTTTAGATTTATCACAATTAAATTGAAATGAATCACACTAAAGCTAGTAAGTTGAATATAAAAAGTTAATTTGAAGTCCAATGGATGCGCAAATGGATCTTACTTATCTTTTGCTCTTAGTTGTACTGCCTTAATTTAATTGAATTTTGTGTTTTTAATTATTAAATTCACTCTGCCTCACTCTGCCTGAGACCAGAAGAACAAACATTGACAATGACATGTACTGTTCGGTGAACGCAGAAGGTCAACATGGAATTATTAATTTTGCTAGTTAACGGTCGATTTAAAAAATTTTAAGGTTCTGGCATTTGATATACTCGTCCTGAGCAGGATACAAAGCATTAGTCATCTTGAAAAAATTGAGGAGCAACATAAGACGGTCCAGTTAGCAATTGAAACCCTCGAGAATTCATCATTGTCTTCAAGTTCGTAATGCTATCACATTAAGATCAGCGAACACTTTGATATATTTGTTCACAACACGCTTCGTATTCAATAATACCTTTAATCAATAATGTATGAAGTCAAGGTAATCACTGAGCTTTCATTGTTTCGCCACTTCTGTAGAAGAATGTAATGTACTTACGTGTTTGTGAACTAAATAATTTACGCCACCTAATAAAAACCGTAAAAATATTTTTGGAAGATAAAATTCCTCAGTTTTTTGAAATGCAAGGCACCGTTGGGAAATTTTCATGAAGGTATAACCATACAAGAAAACCATTTTAGCACCTCCTTGATCTATCTCATCATGGTCATAATTGTGAAATCTTGTTGCTGGGTTTATGAAAAAGTAAAGTACCCAGGACACCATCAAATCTGGCAGTCTTTTTAATTTTATGTGGCAGTTTTCCACAAACATGCAAATTCTTCGCACTTTGATATGTTGCATATGTGAAAAAAATTGTCTAAAGCATTGCTACTATTAATGACTAAGTAGCATGATGGATAAATTGCAAATCGATACTGAGGTAATCAGAGTAATCCAACGGAGGGTAAGGAAGTGGACGGCAGAACATGCTCAACAAGAATGTTTCTGGTCATTTGAATCTGATGGGGTAATAAACAAATAAGGTTCAATCTCTTCAAATGAACATTTTTACCAAAATTAATGGAACTCGTAGACAATCACTAACATAATATTGATATTGGCCGGCATTTAGAGGAATAATTAGTTGTGCCAACTATTCCATGAAATGAGAATTGAATTAAACACACAGACCCGTTAACGCCTTGGTGCCAAGCGAAATGGTGTGCGGTCTAACACAAAAGCAGAGCAGTTTCTGATGAGTTAAACTCCTATTTGTTTTAACCTACCCAAGCCATTATCGTACTTAAGCCCTTTCAAAGGCTCTGTAAATGCGTTGACCACAGTTAATCACAAAAGTTTATTTATTATTAAATGATTAGCTGCTTATTAGTCATCCATTACGCTAATTGGAGACTTTTACTATGAAACTAAGAGCCTACCTCTCTGATAAGAAATTCCTAGTTTGGAGCAAATGAAAGAGGAGAATTCAGTCACCTCTCGCTTTCCATTGGTTTCAAGGTCACTCAATGAGGAAGTTCAGTGCAATCAAGTTCTCTAAAATGATTCCATTGATAATATTCAGTATAAGGTATAAGTGGACCGATAAGGAAATTTACCCCTGCAGAAGATAATTTTCATGAGAAATCTGTTTTCACCATTTTCACGAAGTTTCACCAATCTTTGCTAGTAATCTTTAACGATTTTGTTTAAATAGATGGCGTTCTGCAAAAGCTCTATTCTTAATTGGCGTAAAACCTTAAAGGTTAGCCCTCAAAACTGTGTCAATGGTGCCAAACAGAATCAAAAGGCCTAAGCGAACTTTTAAAAGTATAGTTTTATTACACCTTTAAGCCTTGATCTATACTGCACTCCTATCTGAAATTGCAGATGGCCATCAAGACGTCAAGGTCATTGATGTTTTAATTAACTTAAGGAATTTCTGCCCTAATTTTGGTATCTTAATTTGCAAATGCATATAAAACAGCAGAATTTCTTACGAATAAGTTGAATTCACATGTTAGCAGAGTACGCAAATCGAGTTTAGGAGTGTGATTTTTCTTGTGCCTTAAACTCTCACAGGGCACTCATATGAGATTGAAGCAACTCTTTGCAAGAAGCATTGACCTTGTCCAGACCATCACATCCTCACGTGATTGGTTGAGGACGTTCTAGCAAAGATGATGTGATTTCGTCACCTACGTGTGTTGGCATGCCTTTTTTGGCTTGGTAGAATATGAATAAGTAAATAGCGGCTTCTCTATTGTTAGACAATCGTCGCCCAATTAACCTTGTTCGTTTTATAGCTTTATGACTTTTGCCCTTTGACAACGTAGCTAGTTATACATGTGACGACAAACACAAAGTCAAGATCTAGACATTATATTAAAGCGTGATGCGAATTAAAATTAAAGTTGTGCTCAACTCAAGGCTTTTGGCCATATTTGAGGCTGCTTTATTTGGGTTAATAGAGCATGGTACTCAATCGATTATTTACAAGTATTTTCATGCAATAATCAGATACCCATATATATCTTCGAGAAACCCTTGACATACCATTCAGAAATGTGGCCCAATTCGGAGTGTGGGTAGGAAAATTTGATCCATGTAACTCGGAATTTTAAATTGTTCAATAATCAGCTCAGAAGGGTCAGTGTTGTTGTTTCCCCCCCCCCCCCCCCCCCAC